ACTTTTTCTGCTCCTCAATATTTAGCAATTTTACTTTCCGCGCAAACATGACGTATTACAAAGCTGGTTTGATATAAGCACAAGGGATTCCAAAAATCAGCCAAAACTGAAAGCGATTATAGCAGTTTCTGGATTTTAACAAGATCAAGTGCGAAATGTCAAGTGTCACGCTCTTCACGAAAAAACCGGCAAAAGTCACACCAACGATTAGGAAACCGTGCGGGGTACGGGCAGATATATACAGTTATGAAATTCCATGCCTTCTTGTTGCCGTGGACTAAAGTGTAGGGCTTTCGACAGTATGAACTTGACAATGTCACTAAAGTAAAATCACAGCAACTCATAAAATGGAAACTCCTCTTTTTTTTTTTTAAAAAAATACTTTTATCCATTTGCGAATTGAATAAGGTTAAACTCCCCTAAATCGTACGAGGGAGTATTCTGCAGTAAATAGTACGAGGAAGTATTCTGCGGTTGGAAAAACGACGAAAAATGGACTACCCCAAGTGACAGCAAAAAGAACCAGCAACAAAAAAGAAGCAAAAACAGGGAATATGTCAAAATGGAATGACCTTTGCACGTTTCAGAAGCAACTGAATAATTCCAGAAAGTCCGCTAATACTGCTCATCAACGTCCCAAAGTGCGACTGGGGGATCAAAACATTCTGATGGAATCTACCTGGTAATGTAGAAGGCATGCCCCATCCCTGAACTGCAGCAGCTGCGGCAGGTGCCGATGGTCGAGCCTGTGTTGTCGGTGTGCCATTAGCGATATAGCCGGTGCGCATCATCTGCCCGGAAGGGGAAAGTGACAATACATGATTTCCAGCAAAATTTGGCTGTAGCATATTTGCCACATTCGTCGTCGTTGTCTAAATTTACCAGTGCTTTTCAACAAAAACAAACTTATTATTATGGTATTATATTCGAGATCGGTAACGCCGCGCACCAGGCTTGCTGGAACGATCGTGCGTTTTCCACATAGTCTGTCGCTAAGCAGCGCTGTTTTATGGGCAGGTAAAAAACTTCCAGCCAGGTGAACAAAAATACTAATCAGATTCGGACACATTACTATTCCGACTTTTTACTTTCAAAATGTTAACGTGTTATGCAAAAACTGATAACGCTAAATTGCACCGTCCGTGAGACGTGAGAATTCCCTTTCCCAAACATGGTCGTGGCCTATGTCCAGAAAGTTTCAGCGTTCTAGCTGCACTAGTTGCGGAGTTATAAAATCGTTAGTATTAAATCTCATTTGTTCGTATGTATAATATGTACAGGAGACCTGCGAGGCCGCACAAAAGAGCGAGATGTACGTGAAAGCTGCATCTGATTCTGCAAGGTCGCATTCTCCCACAGTTTCAGGTTCCTGTCTTTTATAGCTTCCGAAATAGTGATTTTCCCCGCCAAACTTTCATGGGGGCATAATTAAGATGTAGGCTTGACTGAGAATTGATTTTGAATTTATGGGATCGCACGAAAGCAGGAAACATTTTCGTTAAATTTCAGCTTCCTTGCTTTCATGGTCCCCAGGACAATTTTCCCGCCAATAAGGGCCACAAGTGATATTCAAGCGCACGGGAAATCTGAATTTAAATTTTCTGGATCGCACGTGGGCAGGACATACACTCATAAAATTTCAGCTTCCTAGCTTCCGTGGTTCCCAAGATAATAATTTCCCCCGCCAAAACTTTTACGTGTTACTCGCAGGTAAAGGAAGACTGAATTTAAATCTGCAGGGTCGCATGTGGGCAGGAAGCAACACTCTAAAATTTCAGCCGCCTAAATTTTGTGATTCTCGACAAAATGCACTCGAACACACAAGCAGAAAACCTCGTAACAATATGCATTTTGTGCTGTTAGTACTCGCGTAAAACGCGTAAACGGATACGAAGGCTGACTTTCGACTGCCTCAGTTTCTTAAAAGGCAGCGTAATGGAAGGTTCTGTCGCTAAATAAAACTTGTACCTTCAACATATCGTTGCCCTGCGTGAATGGTCCAGCTGTGGTACTTCCTGGTAGACTTGTGGGCACAGCACCACTTCCGAACATCTGCAGTGATCCAGGCATATTTGCTTGTTGTTGCTGCTGCTGTCGATTTTGCACTTGTTGCGCGGCTGCTTAAAAATGCTTGATTAGGCAAAGCCGCACGATGCAAGTGCACTATTACAGTAAGTTCCCTTCCCAGGCACTGCCCCAACAAAAACAAACTTTCTCGTTCTTATTGCCGGTGTACTGGTGCTCACATGCTTAGCTTTTAAACACAGTCTTCAACAATTCTAGGATCATAGCATAACAAAATTGTTCCGATGTAGCCGGTATGGATGAAAGAGTGCTTCCAAGTGTTACTGGCAGACAGTAAAGGCTAAAACGTTTATTAGCAGCTAACGACTTGCTCAATAGGCGAGCTGAATTGAAAAGGAGGCCCAGCTACTGTAAGATGAACACACTGGAACAGACAACAAATACTAATAACGGGAAAGCGGAGCAGACTGGGCGAGGATTAGAGGGGGAAGGACGAGGAGGCGAAAGACGGGGAATGCGGGTGGGGGAAGAGAGACGTGTTATGATTATGGAATGGAATTAACAGTAATAATGTTGTTTTGAATTTGTATTTTGTTAGTACTGTTACAGGTGTGGTAAATTTGTGACTGTATAGTGATAACAATTTAAATGTTTCGTTTTGTTCGATTAATAAGAAAAATATGAAGGTAGTCGGGACACCACCACTAGATATTTT